AAAGACAGTCTCTTGAATAAATGGTGCTGGGAAAATTGGACAGTTATGCATAGAAGAATGAAACTTGACCATTCTCTTACACCGTACACAAAGATAAACTCGAAATGGATAAAAGACCTCAACGTGAGGCAGGAATCCATCAGAATCCTAGAGGAGAACATAGGCAGAAACCCCTTCGACATCAGCCACAGCAACTTCTTTCAAGATATGTCTCCAAAGGCAAAGGAAACAAAAGCAAAAATGAACTTTTGGGACTTCATCAAGATCAAAAGCTTCTGCACAGCAAAGGAAACAGTCAACAAAACAAAGAGGCAACCCACGGAATGGGAGAAGATATTTGCAAATGACAGTACAGACAAAAGGTTGATATCCAGGATCTATAAAGAACTCCTCAAACTCAACACACACAAAACAGATAATCATGTCAAAAAATGGCGAGAAGACATGAACAGACAGTTCTCCAAAGAAGACATACAAATGGCTATCAGACACATGAAAAAATGTTCATCATCATTAGCCATCAGGGACATTCAAATCAAAACCACACTGAGATACCACCTTACACCAGTGAGAATGGCCAAAATTAGCAAGACAGGAAACAACATGTGTTGGAGGGGATGTGGAGAAAGGGGAACCCTCTTACACTGTTGGTGGGAATGCAAGTTGGTGCAGCCACTTTGGAGAACAGTGTGGAAATTCCTCAAGAAATTAAAACTAGAGATTCCCTATGACCCTGCAATTGCACAACTGGGTATTTACCCCAAAGATACAGATGTAGTGAAAAGAAGGGCCAACTGTACCCCAAGATTCAAAGCAGCAATGGCCACAGTCGCCAAACTGTGTAAAGAACCAAGATGCCCTTCAACGGACGAATGGATAAGGAAGATGTGGTCCATACACACTATGGAGTATGATGCCTCCATCAGAAAGGATGAACACCCAACTTTTGTATCAACATGGACGGGACTGGAGGAGATTATGCTGAGTGAAATAAGTCAAGCAGAGAGAGTCAATTACCATATGGTTTCACTTACTTGTGGAGCATAAGGAATAACACGGAGGACATTGGGAGATGGAGAGAAGTGAATTGGGGGAAATCAGTGGGGAGACAAATCATGAGAGACTGTGGACTCTGAGAAACAAACTGAGGGTTTGGAGGGGGTGGTTTGGGTGAGCCTGGTGGTGGGTATTAAGGAGGGCATGTATTGCATGGAGCATTGGGTGTGGTGCATAAACAATGAGCCTTGGAACACTGAAAAGAAATAAAGTTAAAAAAAAAAGAAAAGAGAAACAGAGGACATAAATTGCAAATACAGTACGATATTCACAATGCCTCTTTCTTTTTCCTGTTGCTCATGGGCCTGGTGTGGTGAAAAGAACCAGTAGGAGTGAGTATTAGAAATGGAGTTGTTTAAATAATGGCAAATTTTGTTACCAAACTGAATTTGATTAGTTTGAGTCCTTGCACTTAATGTTATAGTCCATATGAAATGTATTTTAGCACATGGTGAGCTCAGCAAGCAGCGAACGGGTAATAGAAGCAAATGCCCTAAAATGTTAACATGGATCATGCCTGGGAATTGGGATTTGCAATAAGTTTAGTTTCATCTTATATTTTTTATAGAGTGCATGCATTTAATTTCTTACTTTAAAGAGACAGAGATTTGCAAAAACAAATGTCTTTTCCCCTCCCCAAATCAGACTGTGATCTCTATGTTGACTCCATGGCCACCCCTTTGTTCAGCAACAGAGACATCATTTACATCATTTATACTATGCTTCTTGTGAATGGCAGGCCTTGGAGCTGTTCAGTGCACAACTTGTGGAACTGTGCCCTTGTCACCTTCTTGAATTTTTCCATTTTTATTCCTTGTTTTTTAATACTATTTTTCTCCTAATTATATTAGGATATGAACCTTAGCAGTAATTGGGGAAACATTACAAAGTACCCCCATAAAGACTGCCTGTCTCACTCCTGGAGGTAACTACAACCATCATCTCCATTTCCCCATTGCTATTTTCCTACTTGCTTCCAGTCTAAAATAGTAGCCAATCCACTCCTATAATCCTGATTTTTTTTTTTTTTGAGAGAGATAGAGAGTGTTCATGTATGTGCTCATACAGGCTGGGGGAGGGGCAGAGGGAGAGGGCAAGTAAGAATCTTAAGCAAGTTCTGAGCCTAGTGCAGAGCCTGAAGCTGGGCTTGATCTCACAACCCTGAGATCATGACCTGAACAGATATCAAGAGACTGATGTTCAACTGACGAAACCACCCAGGTGCACCCTGGACTTCTTCTTCTTAAGAATTATATCAGGGGCAGTTGGGTAGCTCAGTCAGTTAAGAATCTGCTTTTGGCTAAGGTCATGATCTCAGGGTTCTGGGATGGAGCCCTGCATCGGGTTTCCTGATCCATGGGGAGCCTGCTTCTCCCTCTGCCTCTGCCTGCTGCTTCCCCTGATTGTGTTCTCTCTCTCTCTTTTTCTCTCTGCCAGATAAATAAATAAATAAATAAATAAATAAAATCTTAAAAAAAAAAGAATTATATCAACATTTTCTCATGTCATTAAAGTTTTGTACACACCTTTTGAAATGACTGCAAAACACTTCAAACTATTAATATGGTATATTTAACTAACCTTTAAGTTAGATTCAGAAATTTTGGTCCAAAATAAAAAAAAAAAAACAGTCACTGAGATGAACAATTACTCTCAAATCTTTGTCCTCATTTCAAATTATTTGCTTGGGATAAGAGTGGAGATGAAAGTGTGACTATCGTTAAGCCTTTTAATACATGTGGTTCAAATTGCTTTTTAAAAAGCTTGTTTCAATTTACACTCTCACCAGAGGATTTGTGGTTTTTCATATAACCAAGATCTAGCTGGCGGAGTGCCAACCTGTATTCCAAAAATGAATCTTTGTTTATTTGGTAGAAGAGAAAAACCTACTTCAACGTATTTTTAAGACATATTTTAATTTCTTTGATGAGGAATTCCATGAAAAGTTTTCACGTGTTTTCCAACGATCTGTGTTTCCTTGTCTACTTTATTTTTCTTCGGGGGATGTTTTATTTTCTTATTTAAATTAATTATTAAGATTTAAATCAACTCCCAGAGCTCACGATGTACTAATTGTGTTATCCACTCACTTACACTATTTGTGGCACACACACTTCTAGTTTGCCAGGCCTTCTCCATTCGGATGATGTACGGATTATTTTAATATTTATAAGCTCAGATCCATTATCCGTTTCCTAACATTTTCTTCCAGGGCTTGCTTTCTTAGAAGGCTCTGGCCCTTTCACAGATCAGAGGCACATGCATTTCCGCATGGTTCTATCAGTTTCTTTTCTTTCATTTAACGCTAAAGATCATCTGAAATACACTTCAGGATTTGGCGAGCTGTAAGAACTTAAATTGTCTTCTTCTCCAAAGAGCTCGGCAATTCACCCGATTGTCCTACGAGTAAGCCACTCACGGTCTGCTGTTCCTCTGTGACTCCTTCTGTGGGATCTCACTTCGATAACCCCAAACCCCCAAATCATGCTTTTGTTTGGAAGAAGAAAAGACAAGGCACTTTGGACCTGTTAGTAGTCACTGCTGGGTGCCAGCTACCGTCCTCAACCCTCCCTGTACCCGGTGCACTGGCGTCCGCCTTCCCCGGCCCCGAATCCAGATTCCAGCTCGGGGCGACACCTCCCTCGCACCCGGATGGTTTAACCTGCAGCTGATTTCCCTCTTGTAAAAGGCATCGGGCACAAAGTAGGAAAATACACAGAGAAAAAGGAAACACTCTGGCAAAGAGAGCCTTCTGAGTGTCAGCCTGGTTGTCACAGGGCAGCCGCAGGGAGCCCTGGGAAGGAACCCGAATGCTGGGGCTCGTGGGGCGTCCCCACTGGATCCAGCGCGTCCGGCTGCCCGCGCCCTGACCCGACTCTGCACTGATTCCTTGTGCAGACACACAACGCAAGGAAGCGACCAGGCTTACATTTAAGCGTGTTCTCAGCAGGGCTGCTGATGATACTTTAAAAATGGAAACCACCCAGATGTCTATATTTTCAACAAAACACAGGCCACCCAAAGGTAGCATCATATACAATTGTTATTAGTGAGGGAGAAATGACACAGGAAAATATCCTTCGTATGGCATTAATAATTCAAATTATTCCACAGGTGGATACCACAGCTCTAGGAATACATAGACAGAGATGTGCTTATAAAAAACATGTACGTGTGTGAATTAAAAAAATGCACATGCACACATACACGCACAGAGTGAAGACCATGCGTCAAACTGCACATATTACCTACAAAATCAGAGTGCCTTTGTCCAAGGCTGGCTTCATGACTTACACACTGAGACCGCGGGTAATTTATTTAATTCATTTAAGTTCAGCTTCCTGATCAACAAAATGGAAATAATACTCCTACGTCATAAAGAGGGTAAAAAGTGAGTTCGTATGTGAAAAGCACATCAAAAGCACTCTGTAAGGGTTGACCGCTGTTATTATTTTCAAAATTTTCTACAATGCATATTTATGGCATTGGTAATAAGAGAAAAGTCTATCTGCTTTAATGTTTAGAGAGGTGATGTCATCTCCTCCCAGAAAATCCAAGAACAGCAACCCTTCTGTTGGTGACAAGGGGCTCGACCCCTGGCCCTGAGCAATGGACAGCTCCAGGCACTGCCCGTCTTTATACACAACTTCCTGCTCAATGTCTCACTTATAGGTCCTGGGGAACCTCATGAATGTCCAAACAGAACTGGTCACGCACTCCACACCCGTAGGCAGAACCAGCCACAAGAGCCCTTGGCCCATGCCCTCACTGTGACATGCATCACCCTGTCCCCTGGCCCGCAGGTGAGAGCCCTGCTTCCAGGTCCTGCAGCTCCAAACCCACTCTTGAAGGAGTGAAGACTCTATTCTCTATTCCTCCCATCAAAGCAGTCCCCAGCCTAATTCACAGCTACCTAAGCGGAGAGCAAGCGCGGTCTTAATTACCTCCCCGTATGCGACGGTGTTATTGTATCTTCTCATTTCTGGGTACACGTGGTCCAGGTACCACTGGAAATTCTTGCACTTTAAACTCTTCCTCAAGGCTCTTCTCTCGGACACATCGCCTATGTCAATTCCCGCGTTCTGAAAGCAGAAGCAAAGGGCTTTAGTGACCGGGGTCAGGGCGGGGGCTTCTGGCCAGAGGAAAGGACAGGTGGCCTTCACAGACACCATCCAGGAGAAACCTCAGTTCCTGCCTGCTTGCTTGGTACATAGGCTCAAGAGAACTCACTGGATCCCAGAGCCTCCCCCCACAAGCTAGACCGCTGTCCCCTGGCGCAGCTTGCAGCCCCCAAAGTCAATCATCCTTATCACCACACGAGGGGACCCAGGGACACAGCGATGTTGACAACCTACGTTCCCAGCTCCGTCTCTCCCACATATCCTCAGCGACCCCCAGAGCCAATTACTGGAGGACTTATTTGCTTAAGACAAGGAAATAAACGCCTGGAACCACCTCCTGTCTTTCTTCTCCCTACCCAGGTGACTCTGCCCCTTTGCTGGCTCTTTGTGAAGTTCACTATACACAGAAGTGAAAATAATTTCCCATTGCAAAGCTTGTAATGATGTTCTAATGAATAACTCACTCTGCTTTTACAGAAATGAACCTGTAATGGGCTGCCGTGTGCTGACCGGGGAGAACAGCGCCGCTGAGATACGGCTCCACAGGCTCTGCCCCAAGATGGCCGCGGACCAGGAGGCCGGGGGCCGGCTCTGCAATGGCGGGCAGCCGGGCCGCCGCGCGGGGCCAGGGAGAGTTCACGTTAGTTCATTAACCTCCTTTCTTTCATCAGCCAAACGGTGACTTTAAAGGAAAAATCCCCTGCAACGTAAAACTTTCAGAATCCAAAGGCACACCTGGCCCGTGGTGTTTTAACTCTTGGTTTTAACGTGTTGAGCATAATGGAAGAGAATGGCCGTTTTCGAGAAGCGTGGGAGGGTGCTGCTGGCATGAGGTTGCCCAAGGAAAGCGCTGGGAGCCAGTCGGCAGCCTTGAACTCAGGACTGAGAACAAGGCCTTTGTGGGTGGCAGCTTCCCACCCACGAGCAGGAATAACAACAGTGATTGTGCTGCGGGGAGAGTGGGATAAAGATGCGAGTTCGCATCCCTGGCCTGGCATATGCTATGGGTAGGGCGTTAAGCAAGTCACATTAGCCTCCCAGAGCTTCAGTTTGCCCATCTGTAAAATGGACAGCAGAGAGGTCCCTGTCAAGCCAGCATTTACTGATCCCTTAATGTTTGCTCTGCTCTGTTCTAAGCCTCATATCTGTTTCACGAGAGTGCGGTGAGGTCAAAGTTCACAACCCCTTGCAGACGAGGAAACTGAGGCATGGAAGACTATGTCAGCAGGTTGTTACGGGGCTACACAAGATAATGTGAGTAAGGAACTGACCAAGCACCAGGGACATAGCAAGGGCTCAGCGAGTGTTGTCTGTGTTTATATAAACGATCACACGTAAAATCACTTCTGGCCTCCTGACACCTAGGAAGTGCTGTATGGCCATGAGGGGAGTGTCCATGCCTCAGAACATTATTTTAGGAACTGTAACAATATGATAAACATTCTTCTCTTTTGTCCTCTTCATCTGTAATTCTTACACATAGTCAGCTGCCTCTCTGCGGCTCTGGGCTCCAGCCTCCTGAAACGCGGAGGCTGCCAGATCTCAGTGGGAACAATTCCGGGCCACTCTCTCGGGGCATGGCTGAGACATCTAAGGTATGACCGAAGAGATAAACCCAGCCCTGGTTGAAGGTGCTGGTCACCCCACTGTGCTACGGACCTAAGTACATATCATGAGCATTTTAGTACTCAGTACTCAAACTGAGTGCTCTGGTACTTAGATCGGGTACTGAGTGCTCTGGTACTTAGATCGGGTACTGAGTGCTCTGGTACTTAGATCGGGTACTGAGTGCTCTGGTACTTAGATTGGCTACCGTAGTACTTGCTACTTAAGCAGGTACTTTAGATTTAGTTCTCCCAAACACCCTCGGAAGGAGGACTTGCTGCGATTGCTATTTTTAGGCGAGGAACCTAAGAGACAGAGGCAAGAAACGGATTTGTTTGAGATTGCATAACCACTGGTTGGCAGAGCACGGACTCCAACCAAGCTGGGATACAGCCACTAAGCAATACTCCTGTGGGGTTCAGTGTTCCAGGCAGAAGATGGAGGAGACTTGAGGAGTCATGTAAACAGTGGGCGCCTATGTCGTGGGGGCAGCTGGAGCTCCAGGAGAGGGCACAGAGTCAGAGCAAATGATGGGGCCTGTACCAAACCGTTGGTACAGGATCTCCCGGATGCAGAGCTCATTCAAGAGCAGGGCATCCGGATTACTCTACCATGACTGGGATTAACCCACAAGATCCTTTGACTCTTTATAAGTGGATTTGAGGACTCCACTACACCAGTCCCCACGTAAAGCAGGGGTTCTACCACCTGGAGGTCTGTGAACCCCCTCGAGATGCTCTTATAATTTTGCAAGTAAAAGCACTTCTCTAGGGAGGAACCACCAACTGACTGAAGGGATCAGTGACCCATCAAACACAGGACCACTGGTCCAGGGTGATGGGGAAGGGCTGCTGTGTGCCTACCTCCAGTGGCAGGTTCCACGCTATGTACACATGAGACTTGTAGTCGTCCATCCAGACCTCAGCAACCCGGAGGGCGTTCCTCTTGGTGTAGAAACCAATGTTGCTGTTGTAAGGTTTCTTCTTCCGCTCGATGTGGGCCACTCGTGAGCAAGGCAGGACCTCCATGCTGCCCCCGCAGAGCCACACCTGGAGGCATAAAGGATTTTATCAGCCGGACAGAGAAATTCCTAGAGGCCACGGCCCCTCCCCAAGGCCTCAGGGCCATGGTCAGGAGACAGCACGAGTGAGAAATGCATTCTCATATATTTCAGGGTTGGTGTGTTACTGTAGTATAGATGAACCTGACCTAGCTAACATGTGTCAAAGAGGGCTTGGGGGGACTTTTATAGGTACAATAGTTTAGGATGTGAAAACAGAGCTCTGGGTAACAGGCACCCATTGACCTAAGGTGCCCTTGGTGACGCATGGGTATTTTTAAGTTCTCAGTTGTGAGCAAGTGGCACCTGTAGAGCGTTTTCTCCCACCTGGCAGAAGCCATGCCTTGCAGACCTAGAACGGAAAATTCAAACTGAAAACCAAACCATCTTTATTCACATAGACACAAAGTGTGCAACAGTCTACTTATGCATTGTTAATATGCTCTATTTTGGAGTCCCAAGAGCACAGATGCCCAGCCTTCTGGAACCATGTGCCCCAGTGTTATCACGCGCCAGCACCACTTGTCACTGCTGGAACACCGAGGTGGAAGGCTGACATGGCGGTTGCCTTTGAGGCATGCAAAAGCCCAAGGAAGTGATCCTTGCCGTTCTCTGTGTGGGCATGGCAGGCACCCGGGCTCAGAAGGCCCTGCTTAAGGGGGAAAGCTGGACTATCCAACCTTTCTCAGCCCCAGGCAGGAAAAAGAAAGCATTTCTGATTGTTAAGAAGGACTGCTTTGTGGAAATAAGCCTCCTGATCCTGGTGGTGAGAACGGACACAGAGAGGTTTCAGGGACCCAGGCTGCTGTCCTGACATGTGGATCGTGTATACTCTCCGTAAACAGAAGACGGCTGATAAGCTGAGCCAGTAAGCACAGACAGCACTGCTGGTCTCAAGCTGGGATACTTCAAGTCACTCCACCCTTTAGTGTCCCAGATCCCCTTTGCAGGATTCCGGGACACTCCTGCAAGTTGCGCACCACCCCTGGTCTATATTGATCGAATTTGGTGGCAAAATCCACATGTGTGTGATCTTCTATTTCCCAACTCTGGCTGCACCACAGGGAAATGATACAGATGGGAAATTCTCCCTGTAACCATGAACCCTCACCTTCAAGGAGTGGACTGTGAGCTAAGAGATTGGTAGACAGTGGGCGGTCCAGGGTAGTTTCATTTGGGACCTGACAATTAGTTTCCTCCCATGGGATGGCGTGGCAGCTGCTGATAGTGGAAGGAAGCCAAGTCAGGGGGTGCAAATATGGCTAAAGGCTTATGGGGAATAGGGGTAAAACACAGTGGCTGAACTTCCCAGGGTGGCCGATATGCAAAGATTTGCCCAGAGTTGCACAGGTATGCAGTGTTGGGCAGTTTTGGGATTCAGGGAATGAATGGCAAGACATCCCATGTTCATGGATTGGAAGACCTAATATTGTGAAGATGGCAGTACTTCCCAAATTGATTCGAAGACTCAACCCGATCCCCATCAAAACCCCAGATGTCTTCTTTGCAGAAATTAACAAACTGATCCAAAAATTTATGTGGAAATACAAGAGACTCAAAAAACCTTGAAAAGAACAAAGCTGGAGGACTTCCTCTTCAGATCTCAAAATGTACCAGGAAGCTCCTATAATCAAGACAGTGTGGTTCCGGTGTAAGGACAGACAACAGGATAGAACTGAGAGTCTAGAAATAAGCCCTCCATTTATAATTGACTGACTCTTTTTTTAAAGATTTATTTAGAGAGAGAGAGAGAGAGAGAGAACAGAAGCACAAGGGGCAGAGGGAGAAGAAGAGAGAGAATCCGAAGCAGGCTCTGCACTGAGCAGGGAGCCCATCACAGGGCTCAATGCCATGACTCCGAGATCATTTCCTGCGCTGAAGCCAACAGTCAGGTGCTTAACAGACTGGGCCCCCCAGGCACCCCATAACTGACTGCTTTTCAACAAGGGTGCCAAGACAATTCAAAGGGGGAAAATAGTTATTTTCAACAAATTTGTGCCAGACAACACGCCAGGGAATGAATTTTTGCCACCACCTCACTGCATATATAAAAATTAACTTGAAGTGCACCAAAGACCTGAATGGAAGAACTAAAACTGCAGAAGTCTTAGAAGAAAACACAAGGGCACATCTTCATGACCTACAGTTAAGCAAATGTTCACCAACAGATGAGTGGATAAATAAATATTCCGTATGGTGGAATATTATTTAGCAGTAAAATAAGTAAGATAGTGACACGTGCTACAGTATGGGTGAAGCTTGAAAATGGGATGCTCAGGGGAAGAGGTCAGTCACAATGGACAGTATACTACATGATTCCATATATATGAAATTCCAATATAAGAAAACCCATAGAGACAGAAAGAAAACCGGTGGTTGCCTAGGGCTGGGGTGGGAGAAGGTAGAGTGGCTGCCAGTGGGTATGGGGTTTCCTTTTAGGGTGATACAGACGTTCTGATATTGATTGAGGTGATCACTGAAGAACTCTGAATGTACTAAAAAACACTGAGCTGTATACTTTAAATGGGTGAATTGTAATGGTGTGTGACTATCTCAACAAAGCCATGACAAAAATACATAGGCAGATTGATAGATAATTCCACAGAGAGAAGGGGAAAAGAAGACTCAAGGGACAGATTCCAGTTTGGGGAGCTAAGGAAAGGTGAAGTGATGTGGGCCAAGGCTGGGTTCTGTGAAGACCAGTTTCCAAGCAGGGATCACAGGCGCAGGTGTAGGAAGGGCCTTGGCAAAAGCCAGAAACCCAGGCATAAGCACGGAGGTGCCAGGTGGGAACAGAACCCACAGGCAGGCCGACTTGGTGCCAGTCTTCCATAAGCAGTCCAGCCCAAGGTCAGGATAAACCAAGGTTGGGATCGTCCAAATTATTCCAGATTGTTCTTGGGGGTGTGACTAGGTTTGGAAGGGCTGTCAGGTGGCCCTCCTTGCTATGAGTGGGCTGAGAGAACAGAGGGACCAGGTCACACCCCCAGCCTCTTAAACAAGAGTGGGAGGTGGCGTGCCAGGCTGGGAGGCAGGTGGCAGGAACACTGGCTACCTGTCCTGGGCTCTGCCATGTGCATACCAGCTGGCACACTCAGTGGGCACCAACTCAGAGCCACTTAGCTCTTCCTGTATGATTTGGGGAGATGCAAGGAGCTCTCAGACCATTTAGTGTCTCAATGGTACAATGTTTTGTTGGGCCCAGCAAACCTAGAGTGAATCACTGGGGTTGGGCACTGGCCCGGATGCCTGTAACACTGTCACAGCATGGCTCTTGGTGCCTCTTTACCTGAGAAGTGGGGAGGTGACCGTCTGGAGGTGTAGTACCTCCAGGAATAGGTACCAACTAATTTCAACCAGAAAATTCCACTCAGAGTCTACTTTCCAGCGCGGGAAAGACAGAGGAAGAAGGGCCAACACAGAAGTTGCTCCTTGCGCTCGTGAAGTTGATGGTCTTGGAAGGGAAACAAAGGAACTAAATCATCACAGGCAGATGTGCACACTCCAACAGGAAGTTAATTCCTAGGAAGGGAAGCAACACATTGCTGGAAAAGCCAGCATTCGCCAAGAAAGGGATATGGCCCATCGGCTCAGAGAAAGTATCTCGACCTAGGACAGGTAAGGTGTCATCAGAAGGCCCAGACTGAGCTAACTTGGTTGAAGAAGTTGGCAATGAGGACAAGAGCCCAAGCATAGGGGCAGCCAGTCCAGGCACAGTGGCCTTGTGTAGGGGAGCCTACGCCCCTTGAACGTGGGCTGCGTTCAAGACGGCTGCAACAATCCCTCCCATGCTCCGTTCCATTAAAGGGTTGGATCTACTCTTTATCCTCTTGGATCTGGGCTAGCCTTAAGACTTGCCCTGAGCTGTAGAACGTACTAGAAGTGATGTTTCGCACTTTAAAAGGCCAGGCCTTAGGAGGGTTTAGAATTTTCGTTTTCTCCGTCTTGGGATCCCGAGTCCACCATGCTTTGAAGAAGCTGTGGACGAAAGACCATGGGGAGAAGGGGGTCCGGCCTGGCCTCTCTCACGTGCCTTGGGCCTCGGCTGGACCAGACACCTCCAGCCAAGCCACTGACTGGCCACTGACATGTGAATGAGCCCACCAATGCTGCAAAGAGCAGAGGAATCTCCTAGCTGACCCCCGCCCAAACTGCCAGACTCCGGAATGGGGAGCGAATTGACTGTTCTTTTAAGCCACTGGATGTGAGTGTACGTAAACAACTGGCATGAGTTGAATATGCAAGAAACTAAAAGAACAGCCAAGGGGCTGTACCTCAGAGCAGAGCGGTAGACGGGAAAAGAGCCTGAAAGGAAGCTGGGTGGGCAGGCAGGGCTCCCAGCAGCCGGGTCTGTAGACCACATGGAGGAAACGGATCTTTGTTTTAAACGAGAAGCCACCGAAAGAGAGGAATTTGAAAAAGTCACCCCAGCTGAAGTGTGGGAAAAAAGGTTAGTGGCAAGGAGAGGGGAGACGGAGGTGGCAGGAGGGTCTTAGTGCCATGCTGGGGAGAAATTCTGGTAGCTTCGGCTAGGGCAGTGGAATAGAAGCAGAGGTTGACAGATTTGAACTTTTTAATGGCAAAATCTTGGCCAATGGGTTGGATGTGGCAGAGATGAAGAAGGACTCCTAGTTTTCTGCTTGGGCAGTGGGACGTAGCTGTGGCAGCATCATGCTCTGGGCCAGCAAGCCTGCCCAGATGCAAAAGAGCATCACAAGACACATCCAAAACATGCAAAAGAGCATCACAAGACACATCCACATCACAAGACACATCCTTACAAGACACATCACATCACAAGACACACATCCCAGTGATGCCCTGGGAGAAGGGGACGCTGGGAGAAGGATGTCAATGAGTGCGAATGATTTCTGATTTCTCCAGCATTGCTCCAGAGAGAGCCTCTTCAAGGGCATGCTGGCTTAATTGCATCTTTTGATGCATTTCATTCATTCAACTCATGTGTTTCAAATATTTCAATAGCTCATT